ATAAAGATAAAGGAAAAGAAATTAGGAATTATAATAACTAAGATCTAATTACCCTTATTACTTTAAAAAATAAATATATATCAATCTTTTAATTCGAAATAGTATTAAATTAACATTATACTTAATTATTAAATCATTGTTCACTATAATCATTAAATCATTCATTCTCTTTTATAACTTCCAAATAAGTAAAATAACTTTAAAATATGGATTTTGATTATTTGCCACAAATAATAAATTGGCCATGTTAGATGGATTGAGCAAAATGTAGGGTTACCTGTATTGTAATAATAATCCTTTACATCTATTAAAAAAACAAAGTATTGACCATTGTTGTATATATTAAAAGAAAGGATTCTCTATTTACTCATTACTTGAATTATCATTTTACTATTGCTAAAACATCAGTTATTCGTGTATCACAAAAATCATATCGCAGTATGGTCACGTTAAAGTCACGTGAGTGCGGTTGGAGAGAGTGGTTTTATGAACGGGACCAGGAAAAGAGCGTGCAGTGCAAAACATAGAGGGATTACATTTATCTCTAAGTCTCAAGCTTGGGATTTGGACGCAGGGTACACTTATAGAGGACTAACTGTATTATTGTTATTATTATTACTTATCATTTTATTTTTAACAACACACACATATATATTATTTGCGCAATTATTAATCTAACATCACATATCATATCCAATTCTAAAGTAACACACCTCATCAACTTTAATGAAATCTAAGACCAGCAGGAGAAAAATGACCATATACACAAAAGAAGAAACAGTTACATAACAATGGCGCAATCAAACTTCATCACAGTGGGCCTCGCCACAGTGGATTTTTTGTTACGACAGAATTAAACATTGGTCCTTTTTTATTAATTAAAATGTTTGTCATAACGGATTTTATTAATAAATTTGTTTCAATATGACTACTAGTCTCATCACAGCGGATTCACGTGACATATAAATTTATGAAATTTTATCTAAATTATCTAAATTACCAAATAGGTTATTTTAATCAACAAACAATTTTATTCAAATATTTACGAGTAACAAATTTTCTAAAATAAATCAATAAACAAACAATTGATGGGTTATTTGTCTGAATGTTTGCGAGTAACAACCTTTTCCAAGGCTCTAAAATAAATCAATAAACAAACAATTGATAGGTTATATTTGACTGAATATTTGCGAGTAACAACCTTTTCCAAGTTTCTAAAATAAATTAATAAACAAATAATCGATAGAATACTTGTCCAAATTTATGCGAGTAACAAAATTTTTCAAGTTACTAAAATAAAACAATTGATAGATTATTTATCCAAATGTGTGCGAGCGATAGATTTATTTATCAATTTTTAAAACTAAAACAAATCAAGATCATTTTCCCAAAGATTCATAATAAAGTCAATTAGATTATAAAAAATTTAAATCATTTGAAAAAAAAAAATGAAATTATTAGATAATGAAAAACCAATACAACCAAATATTAAAACAAAATAATTTTAATTTCCGCATGTATTATTTATTCATTTATTATTAAAAAAATTTTGCCAATAATCACCAATTTTGTCACATACACAGCGGATTTCTTGTTATAACGGATTTTTTTTTACGAAATCCGCTGTGGCGAGGTTTGACTGTATTATGATCCGTCTTAATTCTTATGCTAAAATATTGAAAAGAGGTGGAATTATGCATGCAGAAAAATTGAAATCTGGTAAACTCTAAAGAGCAAACGTCAAGTAAAAGCTAGTACCAGAGCATCAGAAAAGCATGTGTTAATACAATTTTTTCCTTTAGAGTAACAGTAATGCTTTCATACATACAATCTTTGATCAAGAAAAGACTTTTATTTATTTCTTGACATACGATAATGTACATGATAATTGGCTTTTAAAAATGAAATTGTATGGTTGATAACCGCAAACGAAGCCTATTGCTGCGCTAATAGGAGAAATTTTAATTTTCAATTCTAATCTATGAATGATGTAATTCACGTGATTCGTGTAATTAGAGTTAATAAATAGGTCTTTTTGAGTTAGAATTTGCTTACCATCATTTTGTCAAATACTGAAAATACTGAGTTAAAATCATCAATCATATATCCTCAAAAGGATTGCTAGCTTCTTCGTTTAATTCGTTCGTATTCATCTTCTGAGCCAATTATTGTTCGTCTAAGGAATTGTCTTGCATCAAAGTTTAGAAAATTATAATCAAAAATAATGAACATCTGGTTCTCGTGTCATCTAAGAGGCATTATTTTTATGTTTCATTATTTAATTACACAAACGCGTTAATATTTTAATCTGCCCAAATTTAGATATAATTATGTGATTTATTCCATTCTTAGTTAAGATTTACGCGGCAAAATATATTACTAATATTACTAATATTATTACTAATACAAATACTAAAATTCGAAAAGCTAGAGAAACAGCATCTAATACTAAATCTACGAGTTAAAAAATTTTTTTATGGGTAGTTTTTGAGTTCTACAATATTAATTAAAAGTTTGTATACCATACTACGGTGAGGATCATCTATAGTTAATTAATCGCTTATTGTAACAATTGGTCAGCTTCAGAATACTAAAAAAAAATTTAAAAAGTTAACCGTTAAGTTTTGGTTGTATGGCTCAAGCTTCAAACTTGTCGGCTAGTTTTTTCTTAAACTAAAAATTGGTCGAGCCTTAGATTCCAAATTTTGTTACACACTTGAGAATTGAGACCAAGTAAGTTTTGTATTTTGTGAACAATTTTTTTTTCAAGTATTGTTTCTTTTTTATTATTAAAAGAAAATCATTACCAAATTTGGTTATGTAACTCAAAATATTGTAACACCAAAATTATTATTGTACAACTCAAAATTTAACGAAAAAAAAATTTGTCTGAATTGGGATAGTGATTGTTTTTGTTAAAATCCAACATGTAGATCACATGATATTTCAAAAATACCATTTAAATTTAAAATCCCGAAAACTCCAAATGATCCGAATATTATATGACATCTTCACAAACACCACTACTTGATACAATATCAACCGCAAGCTCGGAAATGACAATTTGAGATGCTGATTATTGCAATATTATTTTTTAATTAAATGTGTAATTCTTTTTATGGACATTAATTTCGAACATTCTAAATTTCGATTTTTGATATTGAACACTAATACTAATTCCCATTAATGGCAATAATAATATTTTAATAGTAATTAGGGATCAGAATTTTTTCCAATTCCCAAGATTTCTTGATTTTTTGAGGGATGATTTAAATAAATTATAACTGACCAATGATTAGTAAAAATCTCATTGTGATTTATAATTGTCTTTAAGTTCGAGGGATGATGTATACAAACTGAAAATTATATCAATTGAATAAGCATTCAACATACATTAAGTTCAGTTCAAAATGTATCAAACTCAGAAAAGACTTGTGCGAGTTTATAATAATAATAAATAATTACTTGAATTATTTGTTATAAACTTTTCTGGAAACTTATCCCGAGATAGGACTGACAATCCCAGAGCCGAATCGGACACGATTATTTGCTATATGTGAAAATTTGAGGAGATGCGTGTGAAATTTCCTTTGATTGTTAATTTAAATTTCACGTATGTAAGTTTCAAAACATCGTGTAATTGTTATGTAACAGTTACACGTCACCGGACCGATAGCTTAATCCGTGTAACATCTAATAGGAATAATTTTGGTTAACAATTAAATTTATCGAATGTAAGTGTGTATGTATATGTATATAAAATATTCACAATAAAAAAAGCGCATAGATATACATAACTATATTGTTATTGTTATTATGTGCTTGCCATTTTTATTATCTCTAACTAACCCGACCTCCTGGGCATAAAAACTATTCGTTCCGTGGATCTCAAAACGTCGACAATAATAAGATAAATAAATAATGTGTATTCTTTTGACTACAGGTTCCCGTTGAAAATGGTGAGGGATTTCTATGTTTATGCAAATAAAAGTAAATTTATTAATACACACACATATATATACCAAGAAATTATTAATATTGATTACACAAATTTATATAACAATAAATGAAACCCCGAGTCTTCCTTTAAACATTTTAATATTGATGCTTATAATTAAATAATTAAAATAATTAGTTACTTACAGTCAAAGACTATTTTATGTAAGGTTATATATTTATTAAGAGTTATTATATTAACAATTGATTAATTAATGATGATTATTAACTTGGTCTAAAGCCAAGTGTATTTATACCTCTTTGGACAGTACAAATAATGTGCTTATCAACTAATTACTAATTCCAAATAAATATTTACATCAGATGAGTAGGTTAATAAATATAAATATAAAATATGAATAGGAATAATCTTTCATATGACACTTCACAATGTGCGGCATAGCTGTTACAATAATAATATAGAAAGATGGTCATTGGTTGTGATGTAATATTTAGCAAATCACATGACTTCCGTAGTAAATTCGTTCTAATTGGTCAATATTAACCGAGTAATTGATAGGTCCAAGATTTACTATCCCACAGTATAAATGCACTCCTCCATAAGTGCATGGTATTGCCTGGTCCCAAGAGGATTGCACTTATGGAGGGTTGACTGTAACAATAATAATAATTTAGTACTGAAAATATTTCATCAAGAAAGAAGATCTTCTATAGGTGCCAAACAAATCATCCAAAAGCACTTTGAGACCAGATAATAAATTACCCAAATGACCACCTGGTGCCAATTGTAATAAATTCAAACTATAACACTAACTACCTCAATACCAGGAATATTACAATTGCCTGGACAATTCCATTATCAGCATTATTATAAACAATAAGAGGACCTCTATGTTATCTGTGATGCCTATTATGTATTTTCCCTTACCAACCCTCAATTTATGAGAATTGGATGCCCTGGTGATATCTCAACAAGTATTAACTACTTTAAACAATTGGACTGCTGCTTTTGTCTTCTCCAATGATTCAATGCCATCCACCTGTCACCAATGGAGCTTCTTTTGAACCTCTTCAATTCTATGTCCATGTGTTAAAACCAAATCTGAAATTGATGATGCTGCTAACAATGACACAGTGACATATATTTTTTGATTTAAATTGGTTTTAACATGCCATTTATGCCAAATTTTTATAGGTGCAAACATACATCCTCTATGACACATTTTGCTAAAAGCTCACTTAATTAATATTAATAATAATAATAATAGTAATAATAAATATTAATATTAATGAAAGATTATGGGTGTATGCAGGTTGAGTACAGTACACTTCATTCAGTGAGTATAGTACAAACATAAGTAGAATTAGATTGAGTACAGTAAGTACAATTATATGTTCCACACACCCAATCCAAAAAGGCATGTAAATACAATTATCATTACCAAAAATGGTTAAAATGGTCTGTACTATACTCACTGCACAAAATGCACTGTACTCAATCTAACACTACCAAAAGAGGATTTATAATTATGATTGGTTATAATATTATCAACATTGTGTGATATATTATTTACCTGGCCAGCACAATGTGTTCCGCCTCCAGATACATGATGGATATGTGCTACAGTGTGATCAGTAATCTAAGACTTGGCAGATGTTTGATGATGACTAAGGCACCACATGAGCCAGCTTTTGATGAGATGGCATAAGATTGACAATTACTTTTTGAAATATTGGTATGAACCACTCTAACAATATCAGGTCTAATGGGTGCTTAAATATTGCTGGTATCTTGGGTCTAATTGTTGCTGACTGAATAAATTAATGAATAAATTGATTATTTTTAATATCAAATTAATGAAAAAATTATCCAATTAGAGTTGTATTATAATTATTCAACTAAATTGCCATTTTTTATTTAATGACAAATGATATTTGGTTGATTATCAATTGGCCATGTATTATTATTATAAGTAAAATCAATTTATAAAAAGCTATTTAGATTTATGACAAAAAAAAAGGAACAGAATTCTTCAAGTTTGGCCTTCTGTAAAATTCCAAAGAACAGTTTTAAAAAAATTTTTTTTTGGATTACATAATCTTCCAATAGATTCTTCCCGTTTTATAAGACCATGAGTATTTTGTCCATATGATTTTGATTGATTGATTAATTGACTAACACTTTATTAAACGCCTATATATATATATATTTGATCCAGAACAAATTATATTCAGTGTATTGAAAATACAAAAGAGCAAAAAATTTGTTTGGGCTACATAATTTGAGTTACAAAAAGACTTTAATATGCCAATATATCTCTTCCATAAGAATCTTTGTGATATGCACACACACACATATATAAACTGTTTTTTTAAAAAAATTAAATACAAAAGATCACATTTGTCAGTTCCAAACAAAGCCTCAATAACAAGTCATTTCCCATAATCCAGAATAAACAATAATCTAGGCAAGATGATGATGACACACATATGATGAAAAACCAAAACCGGACTAATAGTAACAGTGAAAATAAAAAAATAAAATCACGTTACAATCATATATAATACATCTTTAAAACATATCCATATGGACTTAGACTTCTTCTATAATCATAATCATAAGGACTTGAACTAAATCTTTTGATCGATTTCTTGGTGATCTGTTGTAGCCACCATTATTATTATCAGGACTATCATAAGGTTGTAGTGATTTCAGTCCCAGCCTCTGTCACGATCATAATCTTGAACATGAACATGATCTTGGTTACTGTCTCTATCACAGTCACAATCATCATAATAAGGGTCACCATGTGAATAACAAGAAGTTCGATTTCTTCCGTGTCTAGAAGATTGACCTCCACAATCATAATTCCTCCTCCAAAAATTATCAGATTTTTGTTTATAAAATTAATAATAAAAAATAATTTATTTAACTGCTAGATGACCTGTTTCACCACGTTGAAAAATTTTCCACTCCTAACAACCATACCTTTCCCCCTTGTCCACCACTTCCCATTCTACAGTAAACCATTTAATTGTTTTACTGGATCATCAGCGTCGCGTGGATCATAATTATTAATATTTCAAAAATCTCTTAATATAAATGATAATAATTGTTATTAACTTCAAATTCAACAAATCCATAGCCCATAGGTTTAATATAACTTCTCCATATCTTTCAAACTGTCATGTCATGTTTTAATCAGTTATTAATTGGTTTCTTTTTTTTTTTTTAATGTGTATAACGTACATTTGCTTGTAGTAATTTTTTTTTTCTGAATGATATTAATGGAATTGTGTGACAAAATCTATTTTATTTTTTTTTTTTGGTAAATATGGTATTAAATAAAATTTACATGAAAAAAAAAAAAAGAAAAATACAAAAAAATACATTATATAAAAAATATGCGCAAAAAACTACATAAATGATTTATTAAATTCGCCGAATTCTCTTCTTCAGCATCAATTAATTCCAAAAAAACTTTTAATTCTTAAGAAAATAATATTCTTCTTCTCGAAAAAAGTCATATCTCAATTGTCATCTCTTAACAGCATTGAAGAATGAAACATTGTGTATATATAATATTCGCAAACAATCCTTGAAACCTCTCATATGATAACAACAAGGCGATTATCATATTATCCGAAATTTCAAGGATGTGAGAGGGGATGTCTGGTAATTTTCTTTCTCGTATGATAACGACAAGGGATTATCATATTACCAAACTTCAAGGATGTGAGAGGGGACGTCTGGTAATTTTATTTCTCAAACTAGACGTCCCCTCTGGTATGTTGAAAGAATAAAAATGTATTTTTTGAAATCAATATCATTTCATATTTTCATACTTGTATATGAAATTGTTTGGAAAAAACAATTTTTCCAAAAATTTGGGGAAATTAAAATGAAATGTTTTTAAAAGAATAAAAAAAAAATTTTTTCTGAATTTTTAATTAACCAAATTAGTGATATATAATATCAATTTTTTTATTGGTCGTTAATGAATAGTTATTTTAATTCAAATAATAATAACTGAACTTTAAGTTTATAATTAAAACTGTAACAAAACCAGACAAAGTGAACAAGATAATTCAGGGTCCAGGTGCTGAGACGTTACTAATTAATAATGTGATGTAATTTCCTAAATTATACATAGAATTGATTATCCTTATATATCGAATCCATTATGAAGCGCAAGAATTACAGCGCCATTAGAAGTATTTTAAAAAAGCAAATTCTCTTATCATTATGTTTCAAAAATAAATAATATTCAGATTATCTAAAGAGAAAATTAACTATGGAAAGAAAGAGAATAATAAACACTAGGAAAATAAAACAGAATAAAACAGAATAAAAGCGAACAACTTACATAATAAAAAGTGGAAATACAAGAAATCTTATGATTACATAAGTGGGGAAGTCTTTTTCAAGTAATATCAATAAATAGTGATAGCTATAATATACTGAATACTAAGACTATACCTGCTAATCATTGTCAAATAGACTTAACATTAACTTTTTTTTCTCTCTTTGTATATGTACAGTCTATTCTCTCTATAACGAACCCTCTGTCCCTATATGTAATTTCTCTGCTTTTGGTCGTTATAGAGAGAGTTTATTAAGATGGTCGTTATAGAGAGAGAAATTAATTATAAAAAATTGAAACGGGGACAAAAGGGAAGTTCGTTATAGAGAAATTTTACTTAGTGGTCGTTATAGAGAGAGTAGACTGTATGTTTTGAGATATGCATGGTTCTTATATTCTACGGTCAAAATCTAGCAAAATTGTTCAAATTGTTCATTTGGGGCAATTGTTAACTTTATTGGTTTTATTCATTATTAATTGATTTTTGGTTTAAAAAGGCAACCATTAAAAATGCAAGTAAAAAATAATTTTTTGTTTCTTCTAAAAATATCAAACCGAATATATCTTGAGAGAAAAATTTTTTTTTATGTTGTAATTATTATAATTACTAAAGATTCATAAGATTGTCTGAAAGGTATATTTGTGGATTTTAATTAAATATTGGTGTAAATCTGGTGATAAAGATTTTCCTACCAGAGCCAGGCTCTAAAGTCACAATCGGTTGATCAATTGGATATTAAACAATTTAATGCATTGACATAAAGAGATCAATGAATTTATCGGCACTTGTTGGTCTAGATGATGGAGAGGGAGGTTAATTTGTTGAAATGGCTTTATTGTGCAGAATGGTAGCCCATTACATTAATTCCCATTTTTAACTTGTAGAAATGAATCTATATATTATCTAATAATGATTTGAGTTCCTTTAAATCTTTATTTTTAAATACATAATATACAGTATGTATGTATTTATGTGCATCTTTTAGAAATTTGAATAGTCGGAATCTATCACCTTCTACATGTTTGATACCCAGTGGCCCGGGACCATTGCCGATTTTCGTTGTAGTAAGCAAAAAAATCTGGATAGAAATTATATTATAAATAAATGATTTGTGTATTTGCTTGCGTAACCATTATATAATTATAAGGGTTATGAAAAGCAACATTACTGTTGAAGATGGGAGGGAAAACTTGTTCTAGACAATTTGGAAAACAATTCATTATGTAACATTTAATCATTGGAAATTTACAGACGTTGGAGTATACTACTTTGTTTAAAACGTTAAAGTCATTCTCATCCTCTCCATGTACATAAAGCTAATCTGACTTCATCCATCACCCAATGATACAATGATGCAACTAAATTTCGGGGGGCATGGCATGGCTCTGGAGTTTATCGAAACTGCATCATTGTCACGAACACTTCTGTCTTCCCTCGCAGAACCTAGGCTGGTATTACTCAGATAAGCATGTTAACTGAAACAATCCAATCTCTGGGGTAACTTAGTAACCTAAGTTGCAGAATTTTGAAGTTTTGTAATGTTAGGAATATTCAACTCGTTTCAGGTTCAGGAAGTTGCGATTCAGAGTGGGATTTTCTAAATTTCATTGAAGTTGTTGCATTTGGATTCTGGCATTAGGCGGAAAACCATAAAATAAAACACTTCAGATTTTGGCACGCTCTATATAAATCAATCATTTCCCTAAATTCTCTGTTTCTTGAGAAATTTTCGTTTGATTAACCGAATTTATTGTTTTTTAAATGGGTAGGGGATCTTACCAACAAAGCAGCAACCCAGCAGCCTGATGGTGGTGGCAGAACTAAATACCAAGACTAACCATTATACTGGTGGGAAGGGTAGCATGAAGCGAATATCACACGAACACCAACTCTCATCAGTGATAAATGCCCATATGACAATGGCCAAGCTTGAAGGTAAAGCCGCTCTTGTGGAAGCTGTTAAAGCCTTTCACTTGTGGAGAAATCTTCATGATGCTGAATTGTGATTAATTGCACCGCGCTTGTTTGTTTGTGGTAGGAAATTTTATTTAAATCTGACACCTGTGATCAGTATCATCAGCTTTATTGATGATTTTTAAGGAACTATACATTTGGGAAGGAAAAAAAAATTTTTTTTGATCCCACCCATCCAAGTAGAATTATTTATTTATTTATTTTAAGGACCAACCCCAGAAACCTGGGCATGATTTTGAAACCAGTTCTTAAAAGTTTCATTTCCACATGGTGATGCAATTGTTTGTTATGTATGGTAAAAACAAATCACGAGTAATTGTCAAATAAAGGTAATAATAAAAAATATTAATCAATTCTTGGAAAATAATATTTGGAACTCCTTACAGGAAATTATTAAACGTTTGATCTTTGTGGTGTGGTTGCCTGTCCCCGTTGAATGTAAATGCAAGTAGCTGAACGATGGTTTATTTTCAGATGTACTTTTTAGAGTAACATGTTGAGATTACAAATTGAATGATAATAGCTATAATAATAATAGTTATTATTGCTACCATTACTATTATTGTATATTATTCGTGTTACCATAATAGAAAATAAAGCCCCAACGACCAATCTAAGTGTTTACAACCAATATAAGTATACAAAATAAATTACTAGTTTCACAGCAAAAATTTTATATAAATATATTCGTTCATTCACTCACCACTGTAAGTTTTTAAATTAAACTTAATTTCGAAAATAAATTTTAATTATTTTAATTTTTAAAATGAAACAATTCATAATTTTTACCATCTTATTATTAGTATTAACAGTTCAACTTACTACAGCCAGTGTATTGCCAGCATCACCAATAGAGGTTGAAAAAAGAGTGATTAATAATGGATTTACATTGTGTGAACAAAATACACCAATAACTATTGTTGATTTTTTATATTCTCCGGATCCGGTTAAGATTGGACAAGATCTCATTATGAATTTAGCTGGGAAAAGCACAGTCGCAGTTGTTAATGGAACAATTGTTGATATTGTAGCAACTATATTTGGAGTTCCGGTTTTAGAAAAAAAAGAAAGTTTTTGTGATAATATCGCCAAATATTCTCCCACTTTAACTTGTCCAATACCAGCTGGTGACTTCAATTCTACAATTACTGAACTTATACCAAATGACGACAAACTTAAAAATATACCTGAAATCTTTGTTCGTGTAAAAGGTAACTAATTAATTACTTTAAATAAATGATTGATTGATTATAATTATTGGTAAGTAAATAATTAAATAATTTTTCTTGTAAATATTCTAGTGATTGATCCAGTAGCAGTAGTTTTAATTTGTTTGGAAGGAACTGTTAAAATTAGCCAATAGATATTAACTGCAACTCGATATAATGAATATCAATATCCTCTATATTAAATAGTATTTAAAATAAATGTGTATATTAATATTCTTTTTTCATAATAATAAATTAAGATGATCAAAATTTCCCAAAAAGGGTCAAACCGCTTATTTATAATAAATTAAAATATTGATATTAAAAACGAATGTTGGTTATCACGTAATAATAACGAATTTTATGAATGAGGAGTCCCATTCATCATTGATGGTAATAATGATGTAAATTATCTAGGAATTGAACTTTGCTTTCGAATTCATTACTTGACAGGTTTTGTTCTGGGCTTGCAGCCGTGATCACTAAAAACAAACTAGACGCGATTCTCTCAAGTGTTGTTATCTTTTGAGGGGCACTGCGACCCTATACTGTATCTGTATTACGTAGGATTTTAATGCTGATCACAGAACTTGTAGATTTCATTGAAAGTTCCTTGGTGAGAAATAGTGGAGCTTCATTTCAGTGCGTTAATCGATTTCATAAACGACGGAGATCGACAAAGCATAGTGGAAAATTTGAAATGTTACACTAATTTTTTATATTGTGCAACGTAGCTTTACACAGCAAACATTCTGGCAATAAAAAGTAAGTGATAAACTGGATTTGAATTGGATCTGAACTTGATCTCCAATTTAGAGAGGTAACAACTATATACTGGCGAAGTTTCAGAAGCAATGAATTCTGTATAACGTTTCATGTAACAACAAACTTCCACTATGCTGATCTGTGTTCGTTTGTTTATAATAATAAAAAAATAACTAGTTATATATATATAATTAAAAAAAATAATTGACCATGTTTGTAAAATAGTTATACAACATATAAAAATTATTATACTCGATAAAAAAAAGCTATGCAAGTAGTCAATATTGAGAAAGTTTTTTTGATATTTTATATGGTAAAGCACTATTTTTTTGTATTGATGTGGCCCATGAACCACAAGATAATAATTTTTTTGTTTGTTATAGAAGTAGTTGCCATTATTTTTGAAAATAAAAAAAATTTATATTTTTATATATTATATAAATTCCATGGGAAATTTTTGATTGACATACATTTTATATGGGGCATGCTTGCAACAAAACCAGACAAAGTGAACATTGGTATAACCAAGAATTTCAGGGATCAATATTATTTATTTATTTAATATCACAATTACATTACCAATGCAATGTGATCAGTGATATTTGTCTAAACAAAAATAGTTAATATGAAGGGAACAAAAATGTAAGGTTTGATTATGATTTGTGGATCTTAAATATGTTGTATAAAGAAAAAAAAGCATACCAAAATAATTTTAAATCAAAATTGAAGCCTGATTGGATTTTGTCATTTCTCATCAATGAATTTATATATGGAGAGGCAACTGGTCCTCCACTTTTACAAGATCAAATAAAAATTGAACAAGACAGAAGAAAGTTAATACAAGACTTAAGAAAATGTAATAAATCAGTGAAAAGCAAATTAAATATGCATATGTCTTTAGCTGTTGATGATAACTTGATCAATAAAATAAAGATTTGGAATGTTGTTACACATTAATTATATTTCAGTAATAGTAAATTTGTTAAACTTGTGCAACTTTGAGACTTAATTCCTCCATAACTACATGAAGATGTAACTTTGTAGAGAAAGGTCTTAACTTCAAAATTACATCTTGTTTTTTTTGGTCATGTATTTCCATTTTGGAGGAGTTAAAAGATCTGCAAGGTCAATAAAAGTTGTAGGGACTATATAGGCATCTTGCACTGTAGTACAGCTGGCAAAAATTTCAAATTTTAGAATATCATTTCTAATTCAGCAAATAAAATTTCTTAAATAGGGAATGATCTTCTCATAAACTATCATCAAAAGTAAGGGTGCAAACATTGTTACAACACCTATATGACATGAAAAGGTTGTAACCCTTGCAGCTAAATACCAAACAGCCGTATGCCGTATGTATCATATGTTGTTGGGGTTGGTCACAACGGTTGATCATCAAAATTAATAAACATCAATAATTAAATTTCATATATGCGGATTTTTTAACTGTTATTTTGAAAATTTTGTATATAACACAAAAATTTTTATAATAATAATAATAAATAAATTTTTCACGACTAAGAAATAATTTGAATCATAATGTCATTTCGTGAAATAATTTTTTCATTACAAATATTTATTGGATTGGGAGTAATTGTATGCTGTTGAGCACAAATTCTTTTAGTTTCTTGGAGGTAAGATTGAATAATAATAATAATAACTCATAACATAAATGAATCAATTTTTTTTGTTACAAAAACATTCATTAAATATATAATTATTTATTTTTTAGCATATGTTTTAATATATTTTTGGTTGCCTCCTCACCAAAGTTCAAATTTATTGGATTGTGAGTAACTCTATGCTGTTGAGCATGAATTTCTTTAGTTTTTTGGAGGTAAGATTGAATCACAATGATAATAAATAATAACTCATTTCATGAAACAATATTTTTATTACAAAAATATTTATTAAATATATTTTTTAATCAAAGTTCAAATTTGTTGGATTAGGAGTAATTGTAAGCCTCCTTTAGTTTCTCTGAAGTAAGATTTGAATCATAATAATAATAAATCATAACTCATAATAAGCCACTTCATGAAACAATTTTTTATGTTACAAATACATTTATTAAATATATAATTATTTATTTTTTGTTACAAAAACATTTATTAAATATATAATTATTTAATTTTTTGTTATAAAAACATTTATTAAATATATAATTATTTATTTTTTAGTATATGTTTGGTTGTCTCCTCATCAAAATTCAGATTTATTGTATTGGGAGTAATTCTATGCTGTTGAGCATGAATTTCTTTTAGTTTCTTGGAGGTAAGATTGAATCACAATGATAATATATAATAACTTATTTTATGAAACAATATTTTATTACAAAAATATATTAAATATATTTTTTAACCAAAGTTCAGGTTGGGAGTAATTGTAAATCTCCTTTAGTTTCTCTGAAGTAAGATTTGAATCATAATAATAAATCATAACTCATAAATAAGTCACTTCATGAACAGATTTTTTTGTTACAAATACACTTATTAAATATATAATTATTTATTTTTTAGTATATGTTTTAATATATTTTTGGTTGCCTCCTCACCAAAGTTCAAATTTATTGGATTGGGAGTAATTCTATGCTGTTGAGCACAAACATCTTTTAGTTTCTCTGAAGTAAGCATACATCCTAAAGGTTTAGGTCCTGAAAGTTGTAGTCTAGATTCTTGCAAATCAATATTCATATTGGCATGTATCTTTAAATCATATTTATTAAACATGCCCTCTACATGCTGCTGATGAACAACTATTGACCAAGTTCTATTTTTAATGAAATCATATAGTAAAGGAAAATCAAATAATTTGGGATCATTGGCCACAGAGAAGGCAATAAATTCATTACGAAAGTCATCTTCTTGTAACGCTTCAAAGAGACCAAAAGATTCTTTTCTCTGATTATTATTATTGAAATCATCTACCAACTGGTCAATATATTTACTTGCTAGATTATTAGAAAAATTTGGTAGAGGAGTGTTTAATACTACACAGATAACTGCCTGTGCAAATGCTTGGCCATTGTTACCCCCTAAACTACAGACCGAAAGTGGTAAGTGAGTCCATATATCCATCCACTTTTTAAACATTTCCAAGGCTTTTGCTAACCCTGCTTTGACCTTATTCATTAAATCAATATAATCATTTTCTTCTAGGTGCTCACTTGCAGCCTGAAATTCTTCAAAGAAAATGATTTCTGGTCTCTCTACAACCTCATTCAATTCCTTGGTCCATTTTCCCACCATATCTGGTAGCTCATGAGCTTGATAACCATTGGGGAGTGTTTTAGGGGTGCCATTATGTTGTACCCTAGGACAAGGGTCTGCTCCAGTAAGAAAATGGAATAATCGTTCATAGAACCATTTGCCAAATTGTACCATAATTCTAATTAAAATATTCATTTTTTCATCCTGTAACCAACTGAGGAAAGTAGTCCACTTATGATAATATCTCTCTGGCACATTTTTTGAGGACATCAACTGATCAACAAAAAATCTTGCAAACACAAGGTGTATATCTTTTCTGTCAAGATACTGTTTGGCTGTTTCTAATTGGTATAGCCATCTGGTTGAAATAGGTTTTTGGTAATTTTTCAATTGATATTGGAGAAAGGTCCAATACAACTTTTTAATTGTTTCTGTTTTCATGTTTAGAGGATTATCTTTATCTGAATCATTGTAACCATTGTGAAGGTAGTAGGCAAGATTCAGTAGATTAAAAGGATGTGGACATAAGGACAAACCAGAGGGATTAGGATTACTGCCAAATGTAATTTTCTCAAAAGCATTTACAACAATATGAATTGCATGGAGGCCACAAGGAATCCTAACTGTCTTTGATCCTGTTTTTTTTTTGAACTCAACTACAGCACCACCCTTTTCCCCAGACATATATCCAGTATTGTCAGTAAGCCAGTACAGACATTTATTTGTACATATATTATAAGATTGACATGATTCTATTATAGTATCACAGACAACAATAGCACTACAACGTTCTATATCTACCATTCGGATTATAGAAAGTAAGGGTTCATTAGTGTGATGGTTCCAATATGACAAGCATACTAAGAAAATTTTTTTCTCTCCTCTAGTGCTTTCATCTGCAATAATACCATAAGAAAAGAATCTACAATCTTTATTAGGAAGATTGTCATGAATCACAACTTGAGCTACCTCTTTATTCCACCTTGCCAATGTTCTATGGGATAACCAGGATTCAGGTGATTGACCAGTTAGAAAGGCAAAGATCTCCTTTGTATATACATTGAACAGTTGAGGATAAAGACATCTGACCAATATTACTCATTTGAGTAGCTAGGGAAACAAATTCAGGTGTGTAGGCATTTTTATTTGCTTTGAATTTTTTTGTTACAGCATTTTGAAAGACTTTATCTGATATTGATTTCCTTTTACTAACAAGAGAACGGGTCTGGGAAGCATAAGTTTTTCTTCTTTGTTCTTGCCTAGTAACCTTAATTGCAAGTGATTTTTTATATGCATTAAGATTTTCAAATTTTTTTTTTAATTTTTTAATTTCCTTTTCTAATTCTTTCATTTTCTGATTTATCTCAGATTCATTATTCTGAGATTTGCCTTTAGTCATTAGGACCCATTCCATGGCTTTTTTTTGCAAATAAGGAGACAAAATCTTACCTTGATGTGTACCATTTGGATATTGCATGTTTTCAAACAATTGGGAGCAAGCAATTAATTCTTTTTCATCTAAATCATTTATTTTATTAATTAATTCAATTCTAATTTGCTTTGCCTTAGTACTAAGTTCTGCCATATTAGTTTGATCTATAGTATTAACAGATGAGTGATCTAAAATATCTCGGGGGTAAACATTTGATGCATTTTGGAAAGTTGAATCAAAGACATCTTGGGATAGAGAAACATAATCATCTCTGGATAAGGAATCATTGGTTACTAGAAATGACTTGTCAAGATCCATAGGTGAACTATTTTCTTTTTCAATTGGATCATAATTTTTCTCTTTTTTGATTAGACGGGCCTGTTGAATTAGCCTTAATTTTTGATGAAGTTTTGGCATTTTATTTGATCAAAATTTTATTAGACTAACAATCTTTTATAACAATTTTTATTTAATAACATTTTTCCATTTCCTTAAAAGAGAAGGATTGTCAAAGCAAATGTTAATAGAAAATTGGTAACTTTGAACCTTTACAAAAAATTTTTTTACTAATATAAATGGAAAAAACTCTCTGACAGGCCCTTAATTGAGCATATGCAAATACAATCGCGGAAGGATTATTCCAATAGCTTGCTTGGTTATCGAGCCTTTACGGTTTAAAGTTTAAATAAATTTCCATTGTTTATAATAAAATCAATAAAATTGATAACTTTGAACCTTTACAAAATTTTTTTTTACTAGTATAATTAAAAAAACTCTCTGACAGGCCCTTAATTGGGCATCTGTAAATACAATCACGGAAAGTTTATTCCAACAGCTTGCTTGGTTATCGAGCCTTTACGTTTTAAAGTTTAAATAAATTTCCATTGTTTATAGTAAAATCAATAAAATTGATAACTTTGAACCTTTACAAAAAAAATTTTTACTAGTAAAAATGAAAAAAACTCTCTGACAGGCTCTTAATTGAGCATCTGTAAATACAATCGCGGAAAGATTATTCCAACAGCTTGCTTGGTTATCGAGCCTTTACGTTTTAAAGTTTAAATAAATTTCCATTGTTTATAGTAAAAT